GATATATATATATATATATATATATATATATATATATATATTTATTTATTTCTATATTTATTTCTATATTTATTTATATATATATATATGTATGTATAACTAAAGGGATTTCTAGCCCGTTTAATAAATATTGTCATTATTACTATTATTATCATATATATATATGTATAACTAAAGGGATTTCTAGCCCGTTTAATAAATATTGTCATTATTACTGTTATTATCATTTTTCTCGCATCTATTTTCTCATTTTTACTCGAGTGATTAATATGGAACTTTCCTCTACGAACAGGCAAAATGACAGCAGCATTTGCAATTAATACATGGACTTCGGTGGACAGTTACGTGTCCGTGGTAGTCCATTACATTACAGAAGACTTTAAAGTATATAGCTACATGTTGGCCGTAGAACTTTTGCCGAGAAACGATGTGTCCGCGTCCGTACATAATGTACTGCTAAGTACCTTGGAAACATGGAAATTTAAGAGAAGTCTATCATCAGTCTTTTGTATCACAAATGCGCCGAATATCGACGAATATCCCGATATTCCTACGACGCACACGTATCTCCCGTGCTTCGATACCTGCTTGCAATCAGCCGTGATATCGGTGCTGAAGTATCAGCGTACGGCTCCTACAGCAGGCAGCAAATTTATCAAGAAATGCATGCGTACGATTCAATATTTTTCGCGATCGGTGTCCGCCAGGAGAACGTTAACGGGGAGATGTTTCGATTATAACATCGAGCCTGTGGAATTAATAGAAAAAGTTGACACGACTTGTTGGATTTCCATGTACACCATGTTCAAATGCTTAATTCGGCTGCGCGAACCATTAACCGACACATTGGTCGGCGAGATTGAAAACTTCAGCGAAGGAGAATGGACATTTATGGAGCATGTCGCGATTGTACTGGAAGTAATTAAAGAGGCGACAGAGATGATTCATACAGAAGAGTACCCAACGTTGTCGCTGTATTATCCTACGTATCGTGCACTGGAAAATAAGCTCGCGAATTTCGATCGGAATTCAGGGATAAGCAAACGTATTCTTCGAGCATTGCAGGTCGTATTAATTGTTTATCGTGTAAATGTAATCCAAGAAGATGAAACCAAGTTAAATATACGTATTATTTGCAGAAGGAGTTCAAAGGCTTCATTAGCATTGATGCGTTAAGTCATGCAACGTTGCTGGATCCCCGTTTCAAAGATGAACCATTCACGAAGGATTCGGTCCACTCCTTAAAGGAAGGCTTACGTCAAAAGATTATATCTCTACGTAAGATTTTATAATTCTATATGATTCATAGGATATCTATTGTTTTCATTTTTTATTTTTTTTTACCACGATTCGAAGACAATTCGGAGGCCGCGTGCCTCGATTCGAAGGCAATTCGGAGGCCACGTGCCACGATTCGAAGGCAATTCGGAGGCCGCGTGCCTCGATTCGAAGGCAATTCGGAGGCCGCGTGCCACGATTCGAAGGTAATTCGGAGGCCACGTGCCACGATTCGAAGGCAATTCGGAGGCCGCGTGCCTCGATTCGAAGGCAATTCGGAGGCCGCGTGCCACGATTCGAAGGTAATTCGGAGGCCACGTGCCACGATTCGAAGGCAATTCGGAGGCCGCGTGCCTCGATTCGAAGGCAATTCGGAGGCCGCGTGCCACGATTCGAAGGTAATTCGGAGGCCACGTGCCACGATTCGAAGGCAATTCGGAGGCCGCGTGCCTCGATTCGAAGGCAATTCGGAGGCCGCGTGCCACGATTCGAAGGTAATTCGGAGGCCACGTGCCACGATTCGAAGGCAATTCGGAGGCCGCGTGCCTCGATTCGAAGGCAATTCGGAGGCCGCGTGCCACGATTCGAAGGTAATTCGGAGGCCACGTGCCACGATTCGAAGGCAATTCGGAGGCCGCGTGCCTCGATTCGAAGGCAATTCGGTGGCCTACCTAATATCTACCGCGGTTTTTCTTACCTGACTCACAGCCGAACAGACCATTTTGTATTGTCTTCCGGGAATTCGCGTCGCGTGCCGCATCACACGCTTGACCGACTCCGTCGACCCTTAGCATCGACGTACATAGGCATAAGACTAGCGCAGAGAAATTCACAGCAACCCGAAATTTGGTATTTCCGGGAGTGATTACTGTACTCGTTCTCGCGAAATTCATAAATTTCGCGTTAATATCTCTGAATAATGTTTACAGACATAGATAATCAATCAGGTAAAATAAAGCCGAAAAACGAAGCGGAATTTAATAAATCGGTAGATCAAGAATTGAAAGAATATTGGTCTAGAAGGCGTATATCCAAGAAAACAAACATAATAAATTGGTGGAAAGTATACCGCAAACGACTTCCTATCTTAGCATCAGCGGCTAGACATTTTCTGGTCATTCCTGCTGTTCGAGTATCTGGCAAGCGGTTTCTCGCGTTAAGAAGCATCATTCAAAATAATCAAACGAAACTGTCGCTGGAGACTCTGCAAAAGCTCTGTTTCTTACATGCCAATCATGAACTGTAAAAGGTAAATTGCTATTGTTCTATTAAAAAGTGAGAACTATTGTATCTTTCATTTGTTACATATTTATTATTTTTATTTTTTTATATTTTATATTATTTATATATATTTATATTTATATTTATATATTTATATTTATATTTATATATTTTATATTATTTTATTTTATTTTTATTTATTTATTATATTACATGTCTACTAGAAAACGTAGTGGAGCAGGAATGTGTCGTTAAGGAATCGAGTGAAAAAGAAACGACGGAAGGTGACAGAACACAAAGCGATCACAAGAATCTAATGAACGTAAAATAGCGTTCCAGACAGAACGACAGCAAAAGTTATGTCATACTTAGAAAATTGCAAATTGTTCAGCAAAATTATGTAGTAACTTAAGAAGCCTTGATTAACAAAATAATGTAAACTTGTAATGCAAAACTATTGTATATATTACACTACATGTAACCCTACAAATGATATCCCACAAATGGTAGATAATTGCTATTAAGCGGATGCGACATAAAATAAATTATATTACAAAAATATATATATATATATACGTGGTATCGTAAGAGAGATAGATAATAATATAGAGAGTATATATATTATAGATAATAATAATAAATATAAATAGTATATATATTATAGATAATAATAGAGAGAGAGAGAGAGAGAGATGAGAGAGAGAGAGAGAGAGAGATAGTAAATTACGATTCTGTTGTCGGCATACGTTAATTGTGAAGTTATTAAGTTGTCGTATGTCGTATTGCGTAATTAATAATGTATTTGTATCGCCAATTTTCATTAAACATATTCCCGTTCAACTCTGACCTCGCTCGTATGTTTCTTGTAGTCGTGAACTATTCCCTGTCCGTTCTCCGCGATCAATTTGATAAATGTTAATAAAACGGACGAAATGTGATTTCACCTGGAGTAGGTATTTTCTGAATGTTCATTGCTGCGAAACGTGACAAAAAAAGAAAACGAAGTAAATTAATACCGTTCCGTGGATTCCATTCAATCGCGGCGCTCGAGGAAAACCGCGTCACGTACGCGGCCTCCAGTAGTAGCCGAGCATCGATTAGAAATCGATCAATCAGATTTAGAAGCGGCGAGCCCGGTGGACTTTCACCGCCATTCTCGGCCTCCTACGCTCGCCGGGAAATTCTCCTAAGACGAATTCATTCTTACGATCGCGACGGCCTTTAAGGCCTCCCGGTCTCGATGCATTTATTTCTCGATACTCCGCGCCGCCGCGCCGGGCTGCGTGGTGTCAGTGGAATGCAAACTGCACATACCAGCCGTGTTTCCGAGACGGATCGTTGACGAAAGCTTCTCGAGGGCCTGCTTGGTCGGCACGCGTTTCGACGCAATCAGTTCGTTCTTGCGCAATTAACACGCGCACTGCAAGGCACGTATTTAGGAAGAAACGTTAGGCAAATTTTATTTAAAATGGAAACAAGAAATAACCGTTTGGAATAATTTATTTCGAACTCTTATTAAATTAAATAAATTAAAATAATGTCGATCTGTTTGAAATAACAGCAATTTCAAATAATGAATTATCTCGTTATTCCTTTATTTATACATGACAAAAGTAGATTGTAAATTGTAAATATATATTTGTAAATATACTATATAAATTGTAAATATATTATATACATTGTAAATATATATTTGTAAATATATTATATAAATTGTAAATATGTATTTGTAAATAAATTATATAAATTGTAAATATATATTTGTATATATATTATATAAATTGTAAATATATATTTGTAAATATATTATATAAATTGTAAATATATATATTTGTAAATATTTTATATAAATTGTAAATATATATTTGTCAATATATTATATAAATTGTATAAATATATATTTGTAAATATATCCTCGAAATAATATGCAACAAAACAATTTTATTTTAAGAAATTTTTACCGCAATTATGAGAGAAAATTGAGAGATTCTTGACTGGAATCACCTAAGTATTCTCGTCGCGAAAAAAATAATTGTTCCATTGTTGCGGAAGATGGAAGGGGGGTGTTACGAGTCGATAAAATGTTTCTTATCATCGGATAATCATTTAATACAATCCTGATTGTTTCAATGAGAATGTTAGTATAAACCGGACTCGAAGCTGACAATTAGATCGCTATACAATTCCCAACAAGTTATTTAAAATAACATTTCAAATATTGAAAATAATTATAAAATATAGATAACATGTCACTTAAAATAGTATTTCAAGTAATGTCATTTCAAATGTGCCCAGGATTACGCTTGTATCTCATTAATTTGTACTTAAAAAGTTGAAAATCTGTAATTACAGTAAATTCTCCCCAATTTTTCTTCAGCTTGTACACAAAAATGGACAATTTGGGAAGAGGAGATACGATTATTCGAGCCTTGCGGTTCGTTTTTATAGTTCGTATAATCGTATCTCCTCTTTCTGAATTGTCCATTTTTTTTACAAGCTGGACGTCAATTAGGGAGAATTTACTGTATCCCGAATCTGTTTAAAACTGTACCAAATATTGCTTCCTATGGTATCTAAACTCCTAACTATGACACAAATAATATAGATAATATCACGAACAGAGAGATGAACGTACATTCAATTCTATTGGGTTGGCAACTAAGTGATTGCCGATTTGTTCAATGAAATAAAAAATTTTTTTTACTTGGAACGAAGTTTAATCTGTAATGTATTTTCCATTTTGTTCGACGACCTTTTGCCATCTCTCTGACAACTTGAAAATCCCACGCTCGTAGAAAGTCTGATCCTTTTCGGCCAAAAACTGAGCTAAGTGGGATTTTACAGCGTCGTCATCATTAAAAGTTTTACCACGAAGGGAGTTGTCCAGGGATCGAAATAAGTGGTGATCCGATGGCACGAGATCAGGGCTATATGGTGGGTGTAACATCGATTCCCAACCAATATCCATCAATTTTTGCCGAGTGGACAAAGACGTGTGCGGCCTAGCATTGTCCTGCTGGAAAATGACACCTTCACGATTGACAAATTCTGGTCGCTTTTCCTTGACCGCTGCATTCAATTTGTCGAGTTTCTAACATTCACGGATAATAAAAAATAACATAATAATAATAATAATAATAATAATAATAATAATAATAATTTTATAATATAACATTTACGGATATCATAAAAATGGGAGTGAGAGACATCTATAACTGAAATCGGCAATTACTTAGTTGCCAACCCAATAGATACGTATGTTAAAAATGTGTAACTGAGTTTGCATAAGCATTATACTATTTCCAGTAGAAGACCGTACAAATCGGTATGCAATAATCGTGATCGCGTTGAATTTTTGCGTATCTAAATTACAAATGCGAAAATAGGAAGATGATTGTTACAAGCAATTTCTTCATTATCTTTTACAATCGGAGCGGTTATCTCGCCTAGGATATTATGGTTACAATATTTCAATTGAACACTTCCTCACATCTTTGATAGAATAAACTGTTTACTTTGATCTCGAATAACAATTCTAATATATTTACACTCAATTAGCTAAATTCACACGAGTGTTCTAAAATATTTAGAAAGTATGCTTCTTGTGTAAACGTAAAGGACGAAAAAGAGAGATGAACGAACATTCAATTCTAGATACGTGTGTTAAAAATGTGTAACTGAGTTTGCATAACCATTATACTATTTCCAGTAGAAGACCGTACAAATCGGTATACAATAATCGTGAACGCATTGTATTTTTGCGTATCCAAATTACAAAAGCGAAAATAGGAATATGATTGTTACAAGCAATTTCTTCATTATCTTTTACAATCGGAGCGGTTATCTCGCCTAGGATGTTATGGTTACAATATTTCAATTCCCGCCTACTTGAACCGACCCCTGCAGGTGGTCAGAACACGTATCTCCGTTCAAGACAGGAGAACATAGTGAACACCGTGATCGGTGTTCGCTAGGAAGCATCGCCGGCGTTCTAACGCGAAATCCCAGCTTTATGAGGTACTAGCGCAAACGAACGGCCATCGGAGAAATTTATTATCTTAATACGCACCTGTGCGCACAGTTTTCATTCCGCGCAATAACGGCGGCCTCGAAAGAACTGCGCTTCGTACATTATCTATTATCATTCCCCATATTTGCGTCAATCAAGATAAGAACATATACACAGAATCCCTCTTCTACTAGTCTTTTCCACCTTACTGATAACCTAAGAAGATTATAATGATATCCACCGTAATTAGATTTCGTTGACAATTGTTTTAAAATTATTTACAGAAGAGGCTTGTAGATATCGAACTATGAATTACGGTACGTGAGAAAATGGAATTCGAGGCTTCAAATGATTACCCTCTGAACGCTTCCTCACATCTCTGATAGAATAGACTGTTTACTTTCAATATTTTATTCAAATATTTACATTCAATTAGCTAAATTCACACGAGTGTTCTAAAATATTTAGAAATTATTCTTCTTGTGTAAACGTAAAGGGCAACTAAGCGGAAGAAAAGAAATTCATTTGCATGACATACGTTTCCTTGAGTAGGATAGTGGAGCCGGTTACTATGGGATCACCAATTGCCTTTGTAATATGAAGGAGACATATTACATTTTCTTTTTATTAAAAAATAGACGAAATAAAAGAATAACCAAAACTCCCGAGAAAAATTAAAGTACGGATTCAAAAAACTATATATATAGCAGAGCGTTTCACAGTCGATCGAATCTGGCTCCAATATTTCCCCCTTTTGTGTAAGCAACAATAGTTGTATATTACAAACTGTAATATGCAACTATTATATACAGATATTAACAGTTATATATATATTTATTTATATAATACATTATATAAATATACATATGTATATAATAAATTTATACAATATGTATATAATGCATTTTATATATTATATACAGTTATATAATATATAAAATGTACTAAGTTGTACATTACCAACTTTGTTGGTCTACAACGAAAGTTATATACCAACAATAAAATCAATTTCTCCT